TTTTCTACTGTTTTTTTTATGTGTTTATTTTTCTATACAAATAGCGGTATACGATTTTAATAATTTCTTTAATAAATTCTCATTTTTTTTTCATCTTAAAGCTGTAGCTTAAAATATAACGCATAAAAATATAACTTGTTGTCGATTTAAAATTTCTTATTTCTTTTATATGCAAAATATGAAAGAAATTATTAAAAATGTATACTTCTATTTGAATAGAAAGATAAAAAAACATTAAAAAAGCATTAGAAAATATAATGAAGAACCCTGTTTAAAAATTCTCATTGAAACTGATTGAAAAATTTCCTACGGGTTTGAATCCGAATTGTGCAACAACAATCTCCGATTGAAAAGTAGATTTCCCATTGACTTTCTTAAATCGGAATGAATCAGCACTTAAGTCAATAAGAATCAATGATATATTCGTAGGCAAAATCAAATGAGTTCCAATGGGTTTTTCCAACGATACACATTCAATAAGATTTAATCAAAATGAATGAGAGTCAATCTGCAAATACTTATAATTGATTCGATGTAGCTTAATCGGAATTAATATTATTTAATATGAGAATCTATAGATTCTCATATTTGCATGTGTAACTTACAAAATCCTACAGAATCCCATTAAATTCGGTACTAGTAACTTTTCGATTAAAACCCATTAAGCGTTTATCATAAAAGATCTAATAGAATCTTATTAAATTCAGTAAAAGTGAACTGATTAAAACTCATTGAAATCATAATATACGAAACTCAATAAATTTCCATTAAATTTGTTCAATGTGAATTTTCGCTATTTCGAATAAAAGCCATTAAAGACATATGGTATAAAATCCGACGGAATTTCGTTAGTTTCGAATAATGATGTTTTCCAATTAAATTCTATTGAAATAGTATCTTAAAATCCGATAAAATCCTATTAATCTCGGTACATATGAATTTTTTATTACATCCCAATGATTGCCGATCGTGCGAATTCTGATTGAATCCTATTCAACTTGGCCACAAATATCTCCCGTTTAAAATCCATTGAACGTGTATGCTATGAAAACTGAATATTCTATTTATCTCGAAGCAGTTTTCCGATTAATACCCATTGAATATCATTCGTGTGAAATCTGATACAATCCTATTGAATTTCATCACGTAAATCTTCTGTTTAAAATCCATTTAATGTGTATAGTAGAATGATCGATTCCATTTAATTCTGAAAATTGCAATTATCTTATTAAATCTGATTGATGACCAACGCTTCCAATGGGTAAACAGTAAACACCTATCAATTCTTATATCTTATAGAAGATAGAAATTCTATCGAATTTTATTAATTTTCAATCGGATGAATTTATTTCCCATTAAAGCGATTTATTCCCATTATATTTCTATCGAATTTGGTTTCTATCGATTTCAATGGGAAATAAAAAGGAGTTATTTACAAGTTTTTGAAACAATATTGATCTCGACTGTATATGAGAGAAATAAGAAATTTTAAATCGACAAGTTATATTTTTATGGAATACGTCTACGTAATCAATTAGTAAATGTCTATATTAGTTTTTACTTGTAATATGTACGAAAACAGATGTGTAATCAAATGAAATATGTAAATAAAAATCCCTCAAAAATATTTCATAAAAAGTCTTCTTATATAGCGTTTGAAAAATGTATGTATCTACGATAATTATAAAATCTCAATTATGTTATTGTTTGCATGTTATATTCGTAATTGTTTTATTACTAGAAAAAAATTTAAGAGAAAAATTATTTCTTTAGTTTATTCAAAACATATTTAAATTTTATTAAATAAATTCCCCGTGAAATAAAATATATTTGATGTGACACTGATAACAAAAATTAATAGCGCGTAAAAATATATTACAATATACTACTATTCGTTTTTATTTAATTAATTCGTTTTTCATTTAATTAAATTTAATTAAATTTTTAGTCCAACGTTCAATAAGATACAAATAATAAAGTTATCGATTCCTAATAACTGTTCTGTAAAATATTTTGTCTATGATATTTTTTGAACTTTTTATATTTATTAATTACAATGCAAAAGAAATGGTACAATATGTATGAGCATCAAATTTACAATCAATATCAGATTTTTTCAGTTTTAAATGTACAATGAATATTTATAATAAATTCTTTTACAAAACATATAAGTTGCTAAAAAATTAATTTTGCTATATCTATAAGATTATAATTAGCAATATATTTGTGTAGAAAATTCTTGTCGCTTATAAATATAATTATATAATATAATAAAGGTACTTTCCATTTGATGACACAAGTCGATCCAAGTGTCGTGTTATCTTTGTCACTCTCTGAATGTCAAGAAAAATAGAATGACTCTTGTGTCAACTTATATGTTTCTTCAAATGAAAAGCATCCTAAATTGCAGCCCATAAATATTCATTGTAAAATTGCTTTGTATTTAAAACCGAAATTTGCATATTTCTAAAAAAAGTTTATTACTCGATCTAACGGTTTTATAACAGAACAGCTGCAAGTACATTACATTTCTATGCAAATATCCAGGATTAGATAGTGCTAAGTTAAAAAGATAAAAATTAAGTTAAAAAGTTAAAAAGTTAATTAATTTTAACTTAACTTAGTTACATTGTAGACTCTTAACTTTTTAACTTTATTTACATTTTATCAGTAACTATTATTTTTTTTTAAGTTAAGTCTCAGACATAATACGCGGCAATAGCGATAGCTTAAAATGAGATGAAAATTGCAAAAAAAAGCAAATTTACTAGGTGTTGACCATTGAAATTATAAATATATTCTAGTGAATTTGCTCACTTTTGTGAGCACCTGATTTTCACTTTATTTCAAATTACACAATCGAGCCCCAGATTTCAATCTGTCAGAAACCGTGTATTTCGATGTAGTTTCTGCTAGATTAAAATCTATTATTCCTTATTATTAAAATATAACACATCAATACCATCTTCGGCTCACGTTGAACGGCTGTTCAGTGCAGGAAGATTCATTTTCAATAACTTGTGAAGAAAACTGTCTGACATTTCGAAATGACTTTATTACATAAATTTAATAAGTATATGTTGTATGAACAAAATATTCAATCACAGTATACATAACAGTCTATGTAAATATAACAGTATATATAAACAAAACATGTAAATATAATATTGAGTATTTTCTAAATGAAGTATACAGGGTGCGTCACCATCCGGACAAATCGAACAATTTCTTTAAACAAAATGTTTTTAATAAAAAATTAAATATTACAAAAAATCCTTTTACATAGCACGGGGGATCCCTAGAGCACAATTATTCGATATATCCCCTATTAGCTTGAATGATGGTCTCTATTCTCGATCTGAAGCGTTTGCATGCACGCTGTAATGTAGCGCTATCCATGCCGACGAATGCTGCCTCAATAGCGGTCCTTAATGACATCACATTGGGATGCCGAGACTTGTTTGTGACCCTTTCAACTACACTCCATACGTAATAGTCCAAGAGATTTAAATCTGGACTGTTGGGAGGTCAAAATAGGAACTGAGGCGAGCAACTCGGCTTGTCCTAACAGCCTCAGAGAGCATATTTTTAATGGATATGATTTGTATCGAAGGTCCTCCTCAGCAATTCGACGCATGCGGGGGTCCCCTCGCGGTGCGTTCTTTCAAGCGACTTTTCCTTGCTGGCATACTGGAACCTTCGTTGGATTGTTCTAAAGCTGTATATTTTGTCACAACGTCATAAACGGTTGATCTCAGGTATCCAAAGAACCGAATTTTTTCCATTGCTGAGCGCTCAGCGCGAAGGGCTTCGATAATCACGGCTCTTCGATTATACTCCGCACTTGGTTTCAACATCGCGATCATTTTGAGAATACTGAATGTTTATTAGAAGCATCAGACTTGGACGCCAACCACATCCTCTAGCAAAGGCACAATATAGTGAAAAATTTAAATTGAAATTTGTTCGGATTTTTTTCAGTGACGCATCCTGTATATTTGTCATTTCCATTATTTATAAGACTGAAACCCTGGAATCTTGAAATAAAAAAATTAAAAAGAAAAACAAAGAGTAATGGCAAATTTTGCCTATTTTTTGGACCTCGAATTTCGAACTTTTTTTTATGGCAAATAGTATTATACTATTAGATGAAACATTAATCCTAGTAAAATTTCAAGATAAGCATAGGCATGGTTCCGGAGATACAAGGGGGTGAAAGCACCCCGATCTGTGGGAGGCAAGGGGACTCACATTAAAAAAGCATCCCGATCTGTGAGAGGCAAGGGAACTCACATTATAAAAACACCTCGATCTGTGAGAGGCAAGGAGACTCACATTAAAAAACCACCCGATCTATGAGAGGCAAGGGGACTCACATTAAAAAAGCACCCCGATCTGTGAGAGGCAAGGGGACTCACATTAAAAAAACACCTCGATCTGTGAGAGGCAAGGGGACTCACATTAAAAAAGCACCCCGATCTGTGAGAGGCAAGAGGACTCACATTAAAAAAACACCTCGATCTGTGAGAGGCAAGGGAACTCCCATTAAAAAAGCACCCTGATCTGTGAGAGGTGTCAAGTGTCGTTTCAACTCCATCTATCTCGGGGAATTTTCATACTAGACAAAAACTAAGGTCATATTTGAATCCGGCGTAAAAAAATCCATAAGAAACGATATGTTTCACTTTGTTAAATATATATTTTATTCCTTGGACACTTGAAGAGTGTACTTTCAAGTGAAGATTATGAGAAACCATCACTTTCATCCTTTCATATCTCCGGAAGCGTGCCTAATATGCTCATCTTAAAATTTCTCTAGGATTAATGTTATATCACATAGTACTATTTGACATAAAAAAAAGTTTGAAATTCGAGGCAAAAAATAGGCGAAAAAACAGGTCTTTTTGCCATCAATCTTTAACTTTTAACTTTTCAATTACTTTTTTTATTAACTTAATTTTTAATTCAATTAATTTTATTATAAATTAACTTGTAGCTTAACTAAGTTAAATTTTCAAGGTTAACTTTAACTTAATGTAGTTAAAAAAAAAAGTTAATTTATCCAATCCTGCAAATATCTATTTCCATAGGTTTGTTCGCGTCGCATGCTCATATCCTTGTTATACAGCTGGTCATAAAAAAGTTGCAACATTTTTTTTCGATGGGTTTCGAAATTCAACCTTGTTCAGCAGTTGAACATAAATGGTTAGATCGATTGAACATAAATGATTAGATCCATAAGTAAGAACCAATCGCTCGGTGAACAAACTGTATTCTGAAACCCATTGAAAAAATATTTTTTACACCACTGCCCGTATCGCCCAGCTGATTGATTGCTGCTTCTGTTATTTGACGCTTGTAAATACATCTTTACAGATTTTGAGAAAATCGACAATTAAAATGGTCCTGGATAAATTGAAATGGTCCACCCAGCATATATATATATATATATATACACACATAAAGAGAATGCCATTGATAACACTGAACATATTCAACATCATGCTGGGCGGCTACACCCGAGCTTACGCCTGATTTGTCCATTATGTAGATCTCGTTCATTTTCTTTTGTAATCTATCGACCTATAGAGTATTGATTGTTCTTACTCATACAGCACAAAATTTGCAGCAATATCACTGCAAAATTTCTGCAATATTACTGCAACATGTAACGTTGCAGCAATATTGTAGCAGTGTCGCTGCAACTTTTGTGCAACTTTGTGCTGTAGAGGTATTTACATTGTAATATATCCAGTATAAGGACCATTCCACATAAACTTGCACAGCCGCATAATCATAAGCATAAAGAAAATTATCCAATCACATTTCTATCATAAAGACAAAATAACATACGATTGGATGATTTTCTTTATGCATATGTTTATGCGGCTATGCAAATTTGTATGGAATGGCTCATAATGGATTGCGCGGTGATGCGATGGCCTCTACCAGAGAGAATCGAGGGAGAGTGAAGCGGACTCACCTGGAAGCCGTCATTTTTAGTGCATTGTTGAAGTGAATAGGAGCGTGATGGAACATACGGTGCTGCACACACTAGTATTGTACCACACTAGTATGTATGACATATATGTACCTACACACACACATACACATTTGCGGAAGTGCATTATAAATGGCGGAATCAATCAGAGAAGAGAACACTCTCCAATCTCCTTTGATTCTTTCTAGCTTCTACAAGAAAATTTACGACAAAAATTAAATAAGACTACACCAATGAGAAAATCATAAGAAATACGAGAAACGCTCCTGCAATCGATGACGACGGTGCCAAGAGTATAGAGATCGGGCAAGTCTACAGCCGCGTATACTCGGACGCCTTGTGGATCGTTATGAAGTTAGAATCACTATAATAAGAGTCATCAGATCGGAAGGACGCGATTGCTGGGACGTCGTTTACACAACTTACACGTACAGAGTACGTTATCAAACTCACGTTTTCACTAACACATCGCACGGTCCTGGACATGGCGCTGACCAAATCCCAAGGCGAATCGCTGATGTCTCGACTCTTATTATAGTGACTCTATTGCGAAGGGCAATAAAGGCGACATTTGTATTTTAGCTTTCTGGCCAGGGTTAATGGCCATCACGTTCCCATCAATAATCGCTATCGCTCCACGAGTCGATTGTCATAAAGTCGCTGTAGACCTAAACACTGTAAAAAGAATTAAGATTTAAAAATTATTAAAATTATTAAAAAAATAATAAAGTTTATTTTTACTATTATTTTATTATTATTTTATAATTATTATACACACAATATCTTTAAATATAATTTAAAAAAGAATGATTTCTCACAAAAAATAAATAAAAGATAAATATAATTTTGTTATAGTATCAGTTTGGAAATACTGTATATTATGTTCAAGAAAGCTCATACGAGAAGAATCAATAATACTTTGAAGATAGCACGCTCTCGTAGCAATCTTTCAGGAAGGTATTTACGCGATAATTTAATTTAATTTAATTTAGTTTAGTTTATTGCAAAGCTATATATTAAAAGCTATATGAAAAAAACTATATGTTAACGAAGTAAACATAAAGTAAGTAAAGTATTGTTTCCGACAGTAATTCTCTTGTAGTTCTTTCTTATTTTATTCTCTTTCGTATGATTAACTTTTCAAGAATTATGTACCTTGAGACACGATGGACACTTTTGTTTCTTTGCCTGTGGCTGGAGAGACAACAAGAGCCTCTCTCTACAACCGAGTACGTAATCGTGCAATCAATCAAATTTGCCTGGATATTTTTTAGGATAATGCAATTCGTGACAATATTGAGAAATAATAAGCTATACTGTACTTGACGCCGTCGTAAGCATCTGGAATCCAGACTTTGACAGATCGCGTACATGTATGCGCACTGGTAAAATTCACCTATCGTTGTATCTATAAAACATAATTTAAAGGAACTGATCATTATATATAAATATATAAATTTATATGTAAATATATAAATATATAAAAAATATATAAATTAAAATATATTTTTAATTATTAAAATATATAAATTAATATAAAAATACATATTTTAATATTATTAGATATAGATAAATATTACCATTAAAAAAAATATTTAGCAAAAATAATTATTTCTACAATTATAAGTGAGATATAAAGAGAAAATTACCTTAGATTTTCCTGCTAAATCTCGTACTTTGCGATGCTGATTCCGTGCAGGGCCATCAATCTCCCCTCTTGTTTCGTTCTAGCATTTGTGACAATCTCATAGCTATGACAACCGGAAATGAGAAATTAATATTCAATATGCTGTTATTTCCGGCACATTCTGGCCGGTATCTTTGTCATATAATCATATGCTTTCATTATGGATGCTCACGCGAAGGGTTACTCATTTACGAAATCAATGAATTCAGTAAATGAAATAATCAAATATTCCTCATTGAAATCAAGAAATCATTTGAAATCAAACAAAAAAGTATCTTTGTACGTTCAATCGCGTGTCTCGAATTTCTTTTAGAAATCAAATGGAATCACTTTGAATTCACGTTGAAAAAATATAAAAATATAAAATATAAATAAGAAATCAGAAATCACTTTCGTGAGTAAAGTCTTTCGTAAGTGAGTCAATTATTTTTTATTAAGATTCAATATTTATGGACTATCTGAAATTAATTCTCTCTTTACAGTTTAATTTGCAGTTTATTTGAATATTTATAAAAATCTTTAGCCAATCGTGGGACTTGATTCTTCTTATGCGTTAAATGATTCTAGAAAAAATATGTAAAAACAGAAAAACTATTTACCTATTTTATAAATGTTTAAATGATAGACATGATTTCATTTCAAATAAAAATAATTTTTCAAAAACTCATTTTCATTTTAAATACATATTTAAAATTGGAATTATTTTAATTATTACACAGCCCTGCTGCTCTTAACGACTGCAACAGTATCGTTACATTATCATTTCATTGAAAAACTTAAAATATAAAAATTCAAAATGGCGGATCCATTATAGAGAATTTAAAATGATGGATCCAAAATGCAAAAAATGACATTCGGTCTGCCATATTAGATTCATTTTAATATTTTCTATATTTAAAATTTTTCAGATTTAGTATCAGTGATCTCTAGAAAGCCTAAGATACTTTTTTGATACAAATCTATCTACTTTTCATTCAATCCGCTAATTTAGATTCACCATTTTACATTTCAGAAAACGGTCATGATTTGACGAAAAAAAATCGCACATTAAAAAAAAATTCGTTTTAAAGGTGAAGATTCACTCTTTAGAGTGACGCTAATGAAATGGAAAAATAAAATTTCTTTTGTCACAAAAAAATAGTAAATATGGCAAAAAAACGTTGTTTTTGGCTCATATTACTCGATTTATCTGAAAAAATCTGACGTGATGGGCATCTTTCGCTGGCGGATTTGGATTCAATGATCTTGACTCTATTATCTCGGGAATAGGCGTGTCTTCCCTACGAAACTAACGTTAATAGACGCGTCCTGGCCATTTTGATCGAAATATATTTTCGCACATATATATTATAACTAGAATATATATATAATTATAATTATTATAAGTAATAATTAATAAGAAAATAAGACTTTCTACAAACACTAATTACACTAACGTAAGTGAGCTTACATCCGGGACGGACGTCTTGACTTGGATGTTGCATCATTCTTAATTTTTATCAAGTTGCCAAGCTTTTTCGTGATTATTTATGAAAAAATATTAACAAACATTTAAAGGTAAAAATATAATAGTGCCAATAAATTGAAAGATATAAATAGAAAACGGAAGAATACGGCAAAATGACCATAGCGCGACTACTCCTGGGTTAAGATAAGCTGGCCCTACTTGCCGCAATTTTTTTTATTGAACTTGTGTTATTATACAAGATATAATATATAATTAATTTTATAATTAATTATATAATATATATATTATATAACTAATTATATAATATATAATATAATAATTACCTGTCCACTTTTTCGCTGTTGCCTGTATCTCGGTAAGAAAGATACTCAGATATGCAACATAACAGCGCACAATATAATAGACACAACATAAAAATGCACAAACTTAACTTCTTCACAAAATTAACTTCTTCAATAATCTTCAACTTCTTCGGTTCCTAGTGAAAAGGATAAACTTAGCCAGTTGTATTAAAAATCCTGACAAAACTGAACGAAGCTAACGTAATGTTACTGAACGAAACGCAACGAACAAAATGTATCAAATATGAAATAAAGACAAGAATATGCTCGTCCAGTAGTAGGGATGGAGCACTGCGCAGGCACAAGCATACGTCATGGCATACGTCATACTCGAGCAAATTCGACTGTTTCCGGAACGATCAATAAAGGGTGCTTCCCAGCAAGGATACAGGACAAACACAATGAATCAGAAAGAATCAAGAGAGAGTGGAGCGGATTCAGCCGGCAGCGCCATTTGTTAGAGCGAGTACAAGATATGGTAGAAGCCCAGTTTAAACCCTTGGTGTAATTAGGGTTGCGGACAATTTGAACGCTTTCAGCGCTTTTAGTTCAGTACTTCTATTATTATTTTACATCTAATAAATGATAAAAACAGAATGATGATTACAAATGCTTAAAACGTGTGAGCATCCAAATAAGCGCAACCTAGGCCACTGTCCTTGCTGGAAAGCACTCAAAATATGATCACCGACATATACCGAATAAATTCTGTAGTCCAAAGTTCGAGTGATTTCATATTCAAAATGCGTTGTGCTAAAGGATGCGAAAATCATTGTCATAAGACAAATAATGAATCGGATTGAAAGGAGTCGGAAAATTTTTTTGATTGAAAGGTATGCTTAAAAGCTACATTCGAATTTCATGCTTAATGATGATGAACGCTTGTAAACAATTCTTATTGGCTTTAAAACCCGTCACACATAAAATGCATATAGCCGCTAAACCAATGAGCATCTTAAATTAATATGACTGGATGCTCATTGGTCCAATGGTTTTATGTTATGCTTGTGCTGTTATGCACTTCATGTGCGTAGACTTAAGGGGATCCTAAAGAGAAATTCAAACTTCGATGAAGTCGAAGGTCGCGCGCTACGCATAAAGTCCCTAGATTTCTAAAATATCGCAAACTTGCCTCCATCTTGATGCAAAACGGTCATTTTCAAACTTATGTATTTGTATAGACGTAATTATTTGAGAAAATAAAGCTGTAAAATATGTAAATTAATTTTTTAATTGAAAATAATTTATTTATGAACCAAAAGAAATACTACACAAATGCTTAATTTGTATATTTTTTCTAACATGGATTTTTTTCATTGTGAAGTGTTAGTGCAGAAAAGTATAACTTGCTATTGTAAGTATAGGTGTCGGTTCTCCATAAGACGTACTTTTCGAGATGCGTTGGTTACGAAAACCAATTGTAAATTCGTTTAGCATTTTTGTTAGAGTATTCTGAATGGAGTACAGATTCTTACGGAGGTTTAAAACAAAAATGGAGATTAACGGAAGTTCGATTGTAATAGCTAAATCCCGGACTAAATGGCTGCTCTCAGGCTTCTCTCTATTTTGAGCTGTCATATCTTCTCTCAGGTTTCTCTTTGCTGAAGGACCATTTTTACCAACGCGTTAGCTTAATCGGCCGTTAACCAATCGTATTTGCTATTTAGTAGAATCGACCAATTGCGGTTGACAGTTAATCACGATTAAGCGGGGAGCATAGACTCTTGCATAATGCATAATATATGAGGCATAAGAAAATGAATCAATCAAAGTCTTTTATTTCTTTTCTTTCCGTAAAAAATAAAGGACTCAGATTGATTTTCTTATGCCTCATGTTTCATGCGTTATGCAAAAGTCTGTGCTCCCCGCTTCAAACTTGATCGACGTTGGTGAAACCGACCCAAAGTCGGCCTGTTTTACCATCACGTTTTAAGAAAAATCTCCAAATTGGCTTCATCAATTGCAAAATTTGTTTACAAAATTAAAGAACACGAAAAGAAATTTTTAAAAACACGATTTTATGAGAAAATCGAAAAAAAATTTTAAAAATTCACTTTTTCTGATTGGCACCTAAGATCAACACATTTGCTTGATATAAAAGTTTTATAGTTTATAGATTGAAAATAAGTATGAAGCGAGATTCACTTGAACACTATTGAGTTTGTGGAATTAAGATTCAAAGCGTAAAAGAAAATATTTCTTCTCGAACATAATTACGTGCTTTGCAAGAACTCGTCGGACCAAAATTTCGACAGAGCCAAAATTCCGTGTAGTAGTAGTTGCGCGGTCTTGCGATAGATGGTGCTGGCATATCATGCGTATCAAAGAATTTTTTTCAATAGGGGGTGAAGGGTCAATCAACCTAGGGATAGAACCAGTTGAAATTTGTCTTATGAATAAGTTTACTATTTCGATAAGTTGAAATCTTATTTAATTCTGTTCCTAATATTTGATATATTGTGCTTAATTAGTCTTTTTTGCAAATTAAGTTTAACACAAAAACTTCTATTACCAAACAATTCAATAAATTTAGAACAAATATAATATTAAAATACATAATAATACATAATAAAATCTGGTTCAAATAATTCAAATAAAAGAAATTATGCTAGAAGGGCTACGAATCAAACAAACAAATTTTAATGTAAAATGATACAATTGACATTAAATAAAACATAAAAGTAAAAACAAAGATAAAAATATGAACTAATGTTTCGATTCCAATATAAAATATAATATTATTATATCTTATTCTTATTATTAGAAATGAGCGATATAAACAAATTTTTATCACAACTTGTTTAAATAAATTTTCAACTTGTGTGCACCACAAGTGTTTTATGTAATACTAGTGCATAAGTATAAAGTTCTTATACAAGAAATTACTACAAATGAATATCTCCACAAGCATTTTCTCGGTTGCCTGAATCCGATGGCAATCGCAACTTCGAAGTAGTTCCTACCTCATAGGGTTAGTAATCTGATTTTGGTATAACGAGGCTTTCTATCTAGTATCTCTATCTGCAATTTTAAAAAACTTAAATGCAGATAGATTATATCTTACATACATATGATAAATAAAAGCACTTCCTTTGTACATATTGTTTTCGTTTATATGTACTTTCATATATTTTTTCGTTAGAAATGTAGTCTCAAAATAGATTGGCGTTACACAGAAATACAATTAAAAGAAATTTCATTTTGTTTCTTTTTTTTTTTAATTTATACGTTGTATATCATTAAACAGAATTTTTTTTAAATGTGTACATACGTAAAAAAAAATTGAAAATGCTATTACGTAATTTTAAATTTTAATTCATTTAAAAATGAAGCTATCTTTATCTTTTGTATATGTATACAATGTATACATATACTATTAGGTGTTGGAATTAATTCGTAGCGTTTTACAAGTGATGGGAAGTACTTTCATTAATGTATTTTTTAATGCTCATGTGAAATAAATAACATTCTTTCATTAAAAACGCTACGAATTAATTCCAACACCTAATATATAAATTTAAGATTTAAAAAATTGTAATATATATATTTATATTTAAATATATTACAGCATAATATTGAAAAATATATATTCTTTGTTATTGATTATTTCTACTTTTGGTGCACTGTGGCAATATTACATGTGCCACATACGGTACATCAGGTGCACCATTGTCGTCTTTCAAACGATCTTCGAGTTCCAGTTGTAACGCTTAATCTTGTTGATTTTTCCCTCAACGACAGACTCAAGAGACGTCAGTCGACGTTAAATTACGAGTTACAAACGCATTGATAGAAACACATTTTCGCACATATATTTTTATAGTCGATCGTTCTATTTGATCTACGTTGTATATAGAGACTACTGCATCTCTCAACAACACGGGAATTCATATTGCTTGTAAAATAAAATTGAAAGTTTTATAGATCGATTGTTCTCGGTTGCGTATCCTGTTATTTATAGTTTACGTGTATGTCGAGTGCATCCATTTTAATAATATACATATATATATTAGGTGTTGGAATTAATTCGTCAACACCTAATATATATATATATATATATGTATGTATATATATTTGAACTAATTACTAAAAGAAAGGATTTTGAGAAAAACGCTAATAATGTAATGCTAATAATCAAAATTTGATATTAACGTTCAAATTCTTATTGTTAATAAAACTTATATTAATTCGGTTATAATGCATATTAAAACTTCTTTCATCAAGTTTATTAATGTTAAACCTGTGCGACTTGAATAATCATTTCAACTTTCTTACACAATGAAAGTTATACATATATAGTTAAATAATTCTTACATATAAAAAGTATTCACTTCGGCTAGCAAACTAGGACGCGTGATATTAAATTCTCGTACTACCACAAGAACTCTGAAGCGCCATCCTCCTGAAAAAGAAACTCCCTATGAGCATTCGGATCAAATAATAGCGTGACATGTTCCATTTGCATTTCGCATTTTTCATTCGTTACGGCGTAGCAGCAATTTCATGACCAAAGGTATGCCATTAATTTCAATAACATTCATAAGTTTTTTATCAAGGCCTTTTTGCGTGAGAGGACTGTGTTACACAATTTAACATAAAAAGTTATCAGATCACCATTGCACAGTTTTAATAAAACTTCTAAACTTCAAGAAAAATATGCTCCATACAAAAGCATACGCTGATCCTGAAAAAAGCTGACGCCAAAACCTTTTCTCGCAACTTTATCGTATTGGTTGCGTGAATGGTTAAGAGGATAGAAACTTGTTAGCTGATTGATTCAGATGGACAAAAGCTACCGATTCTAAGGGTGGCTCTTTATAGGATCGAGATAACCAGAATGTTCAGACCCCGCATTGTCAAATATTCTTTCATCAGTTCCCGTCATTGCTTTTGGACTTCGTCCACCAAAAATGAAGATTCATTTTACGCCTTTCTTCTTTATCTTGCAGATTATTAGGATCAATACTCATCTTTGTATAATTCGAGTAAATGAAATCCTAATTAAACTAAATGCGAACAGAAATTGAATTAATCAAATAGCATACAGGTTATATATGTATATATATATGAAGTTTTTTAAAATAGGTAGCGCCCCCATTTTTTAAATAAGTACTATAATAAAACAAATACATGTTTTCATGACATAAAATAATAATAATGATGAAATTCTCGAACTCTTTTAGTGTTACAATAAATGCGAAAACGCAATAAGTAGCGAAATGCAAA